GTCTTCCCAGAGTGGAATAGCTCAAGAGTTTTTAATTTCTGTGAACTTAACTTTTTCTTCATCCCAGATGCACCTACATTGTCAGACCAGTGATGAATTGGCCAATCTGCTGCATGTTGCAGCGTGACTCAGAGGCTGGATATAACTCCTTTTTTTTTTTTTAAAAAAAATGTAGATATTATGCATTTGTGTACTCAGCTTTGGAGTAGGACATATCCAGCAGTCTCCATGGAGATTTTACTACACTGTTCTCACTGATGTGTGTTTATCCACCACAGAGATGAATAGCAGACATTTAAAAGCTCTCTTCAAGTTTATAGAATTGCTGGTTGTGATGCTGAAACTATTAGCTGTAAAGGGACCTTTTAGAAAAAAACCCATAATAATGTAAGAAAACAAACTCAATTCTTTTGTGAGACAGTCCCTGTCCCTATTATCTTTCCATTTTGAGAAGTCATCCTTGGTTCAGTTGTATTACCATGGTGACAAGTTTGCATTTCGACCAGACCAAACTATAAACTAGGGCTCTGCCTCTCTAGCTCCTGTCCTAGGATTTTTATTGCTGTGTCTTTGAATATGAACTCTCCAGTGTCCTGACTGAAAATCACACCCTCCCCCAGCCATCACCCCCAAAGTGTTCAACCAGACAAAACCATCTGGAGTGTTAATGTTAGAATTCTAAGAAATCCCACAAAGATGCGAAGAGGGGAGAGTATTAGAGAAGAGTACAAATCAAATGAAAAAAAAAAAAGAGCCCACAAAGGAACAGATATATTTGTGCTCTTTAAAATAAAACGGGTAAGTCAACACAAACAGGCAGGGAATTGTGCTCGGTGATAATTGGCCGTGTGGCTCAGCCCTCTGAGGTCTGAACGAGTAAACACAGCTTGAGTTGTCCATGTTTACATCCCTCTCTCCAAGGGGACCTCTGAGTGCTGGTCATTTGCTCCTTGGGATAATTACATATATAATTTTTTGCCAACTAAATAAACTCTCCCGGAGATGGATTTTGAGTTCTTCAAAATGCCTACAGCCAGCGTAGGTCAGGCATGGGAGGTGGTTTTGCTCTGTATTATTTGTGCAGGGAGCAGGAAAGAACCCATCATCTGCTCTAACCAAATCAACAAAGTGTGTGAGGACAAGATTGGGGCAGCAGGAGACAAGGAGCCTGTCGCATCTGCCTGAATATCATACCAAACCCAGACAACAAAGATGGTCGCCCGAGGACACCTTGGCTCTCTTAGATCTGGGCTCCTGAGAGTTCTGTGGGATGCTCTGCTTACTGTTAAACGAGCAGCATGGTTTTGCTTAGCAACTGTGCGGGGGGAGCCCTGCTCTGTTAGTAAGTGGCTTGGGCCTCGGGGCTGGGGGAGGCAGAGAGGACACGCACGGCCGTGTCTCTCAGGGGTCCTCTGCAGCTGGTTCCTGATGTCCCAGGCATTGACTTCAATTCTGAGCAGTTTTAGAAGGATGCTAAAAAGTGAGGGGGAAATAAATTGAAAGACAAATACAAAAGCTTCCAGAATGGTGAGCTGAGAGTGTCCGAGAGCCGAATGTGGAGTTGGCACTGACAGACCAGGGAAGAATGAGGTCTTCCCAAAAGGAGGTACTTATAGAAGATAATGATCCAGGAAGGCACAACCAACATGGACCTCCTGAAGCTCCACAGAGATTCTCTTCAGTCAGATATGAGGGAACATTCCTCACATTATCTTTTTATAATGAAGTACGGGAAAACACATATTTTCATGCATCTACACAGGTCTGAGATATTTATTTCTTGTTATGGTTTATATATGAGGTGTTCCCCAAAAGCCCACGTGTGAGACCATGCAAGAATGTCCAGGGGTGAAATGATCACGTTATGAGAGCTGTCACCAAATCGGCGGATTAATCCACTGGTATGGATTTACTCTATGGTGGTAGCTGTAGGCAGGTAGGTGTGACTGGAGGAAGCAGGTCACTGGGGATGTGCCTTTGGGGTTTACATTTTGTCCCTGGTGAGTTGAGCTCTCTGCTTCCTGTCTTGTCATGTTCTGAGCTGTTTTTCTCTGCCACACCCTTCTGCCATGATGTTCTGTTCTGCCTCACCTTGTTCTGGCCCAGAGCAAGGGTCAGGAGACCATGGACTGACCCTCTGGAACTGTGAGCCAAAATAAACTTTTCCTCTTCTAAGTTGTTCTTGTTGGGTCTTTGGGTCCCAGCAGTGAAAAAGCGGACTCAAACATGAAGACATTTAAAATACCCCAGATAATTAAAATGCTCCAAGCATTTTCTGAGCATCGCCCTTGGGTACCTGGGAGAAGCAGCCCAGGGACACACTGGTTGGCTCGGGTGGTGAGCAGAGAAGTGTTCACTTTGCTGATCAGTTCTCCAGTAGACACTGCAATCAAGACACCAGCATCTATCTAGCCTTGGTGACACTTTCTCTTCCTCCAATCAAACCCACTCTGGCCAGTCACTGTCGTTCCCTGGCCTATCTGAGGAAGCCCGGGCAGATCGTCAGCTTCCTGTGCGCTTCAAGCCCTTCTTTGCCAATCTCAACCTCATTTAGCTTGCAATTGCACTCACATCCTAATTGATGACTTAACAAGCGTCTCACAAACATTTAATTCACTTTAATTTCATTATGTGTTTGAGGAGGGCGATTTATAGAAGGGGAGACGTTGATGTTCCCGTTGCCAGCAATTAGATGAGCTTAATGATCTAAGGTGCAGCCTCCTTTTGGGCTTTGAACTTTGCCTGCATGTTTACAAACAAAACTAGCCTAATAAGTTCCTGGGTCCCCAGAGGGGCTCAGCTGCCCTCACAAAGCCCTGCCTTAGTATCTGATATGGAAATTCATGAGAGGGCAGAACATTCCATATGGTGCTCAGGTAATTCATCTTGTCACGATTCTTTCATGTGTGGAAAAAAATTGATATTTTCATATGCAGTTCCAACAACATCAACAGATTGTGATTTTTTTTTTCTAGTGTGGCTTTTTTGAGGAGATGAGGAGGGGGCAGTGGAAGAGTACAGATCCCATTTGATAGACTGAGCACCCTGCCAGGAGTCCAAGCGCATGACTCCTTTGTATACTTCTTTGACTTTCCTGGACGGATCACCCAGTGGCTAGTTCTTACTCTCAGTCTTCCTTCCCAGAAGGGGCTCGGGGTGGCCTGCTCTTCAGTGTGAGTGAGTCTGGTGTCCCGTGCGAGGGAGCCCAGCTTGGCTTGGTTTGCCGAGTTGCTGAATAACTTGGAAAACTGTTTCCATCTTTGTGCACCAGACTGAGGGTTAGCTCCACCAGAATTCTAATCTTAGCTCTGTCTCTCTGTAGCAGCAGCATATTCATGCAAGTCCCCTAACCCCTGTGGGCACTCATTCTGCATCAGTAAAGTGAAGTACCTGAATGTGCAAGCTTTCTCTGCTCTGTGGTTCTTGGCCTTCTGACTCACCAGAAGGCCATGAATAGGAGGCAGACGGTGTGATAAAGATTTCCTGTGTCGATAGCTCCAAGTGCAGTTGCTTTTCCTAAAATCAATTTAGGCAATATAGACAGACCATGCACTCTGGTATTGAACATACATTTCTTTTTAAAATTTATTTCTTCTTGGAACATTATAATTGTACGTAATGGTGGGATTCATTGTGATATATTCAGATACGCATGTAACATGAACTTGGTCAATTCCATTCCCCAGTGTCCCAGTGTCTTCCCTTTCCCTCCCCCTCCCTCTTCCTCTCCTCTTCTGGTCTCCTTGTAAGTCCATGAGATCCCCCTTCATTTTTTTTTTTTTCTCTCTCTAGCGTCACATGGTGCTCTCAAGTTCCATCCATTTTCCAGCAGATGACGTAATTTCACTCCTTTTTATGACTGAATAAAGCTCCATTGTGTATATATACATCACATTTTCTTTATGCACCCGTTAAACATATATTTCATTTATTTATGACAGCGTGTGGTTCCAAGGACCCCTGATGACAATCTTCAGCACCAATTCGGAGAGTCTGGAAAAGACCCGGAGGGTCATTCCACCAAAACGCCGCACTGTGTTCTGGGCGCATGGAGGTGCTTCCCAGTGATGCTGTCTGTCTGTCTACCTCTCACCCCCTGGCATGAGTCCTTTGCCCCCCCATGTCAGTCTAATTCCCATTGTTAAAAGTATGTTTGCCACCAAACTGCTGACTCTTTCAAAAGGTGCCATGAGCTGAAGCTCCTTCTGCCCCTTTAGACAGTGACCCTGTCATTCTGAGCCCTGTCCTGTTTCTTCTGGGCCAACATACACGAAGGACGCAGCACCAGCTCAAACAATTATTTTTAAAACAAAAGTGTGTGATAAGTGTACAGCCTCCGTGTGGGGAAAGAGGTTGCAAAACACCAGTGCTTGGCCTGAGTTGTCACAAATGAGGATGGATGTGGCTATGTTTTCCCTTTCATTCAAACACTTAGTGGGCCTGATTCCATTTTTTTTTTTTTTTTTTTTTGGTGAAGAATGTTGGCGACCGTCCCATTACCTCTCATAAGCCAATCAGGTCTTTCTTTCCCCCAGCATATTCTTTGAAAGACTAGTCAGGAAAACTAGACGTAATCCATCACTGCCAGTGTGGAAAGAGCTCCATCCCCCTCCCCCTTTCTCCCTGAGGGAGGGGTCAGTGATGCCCCATGAGGCATGGCAGCAAGGCTTTCTCGAGAAAGAACTGTGTTTGCACTAGTGAGGAAGAGAGAATCAGTATCTGGGCTGCAACTGTAGGATCATGAAAGGAGAATTCAAAGTGTGAACTAAGCGTGACCTGGTGTGCAAAAAAGGCGTCAATTTTGAGGAGCCTCAGATCCTCCTGGATCACCTGAAAACTTGTGTGTTTTTCTAGGAGAGAGACCGCAGCTTTCACCAGCTTCCCTCAGAGCAGCCTATGATTGAAGAAAGCTTAAAAGCCACTGACCTGTGCATCTGTCTTCTGAATCCAGGGTGAAGCCACTGACTTGCCTATCGGTATTTCTCCTTTGCTCTTCCTAGAAAAAGCAAGTGAGTCAGACCAAGATCCGGGTCATCTCAACCATCCTGTTCATCTTGGCTGGCTGTGTTGTGTTTGTGACGATCCCTGCTGTCATTTTTAAATATATCGAGGGATGGACGGCCTTGGAATCCATTTATTTTGTGGTGGTCACTCTGACCACGGTGGGATTTGGTGATTTTGTGGCAGGTAAGCACCCTGGGCATCCCAGTCACTGGGGTCCTGGTGGGAAAAAATCATCTGTGTTTTTTAAAATCACAATAGCGGATATTTGCGGAGAAGCCAATGAAAATGATTCCATGTCACCACTGCTGGGCACAGGTTCTTTTCAAACCCCTTTGTCCTATGTGATGTAAAGAACAGAGGGTTTTTTTTTTTTTTTGGGGGGGGGTGGTGGGAGGTGGGTACCAGGGATTGAAATCAGGGGCTCTTAATCACTGAGTCACATCCCCAGCCCTTTTTTTGTATTTTATTAAGAGACAGGGTCTCACTGAGTTGCTTAGCACCTCGCTTTTGCTGAGGCTGGCTTTGAACTCATGATCCTCCTGCTTCAGCCTCCCGAGCCACTGGGATTATAGGCGAGCACCACCACACTTGGTGGCAGAAGAAAAGAAAGTCAGCCTCCTTCTTCTTGGGATGCTTAGTGCCCATATATGAATTATGCAAGAGCAGAATGAATTTCTCAGGAATCTAGGTCCTATCAGTGTTGTTAAGGGAGCTTGAATCAACTCATGAAGGCTGTATTTTCACAAGGCAAATATGAAACTTGAGAGAAGTTAGCACGGAGTGACCTGCAGGCTGAGCTTCCTGATACTGACATGAGAACCGCTGCCTCTGGAGAAGTCGTTCTGGGTATGCTCAGGTGAAAGATTTAGGGCTGGGAGATGAGCACTGTCTAGAGGCAGCATAATTTATTCCTTAATCTTCATTTTAAAAATAGAAGTTAATGAACTACATTTGAGGGAGTGAAAGAAAACCACCATGAATTTCACCCAGGGATGGGGAGTTTAAAAATGAATCAAGACTTGGCTTCGTAGTGCTTTCCCAAGGTGTGGTAGGAAGGCAGGAATACCAGGAGGCTTCTATTCCACCTCCTCCTTCTTCCTTGTAGGTATGGTTCTAGATGTTTAGACAATTGATCATTTTCTTTTCTTTCTAAAATTTTTTTTATTTGTTGATGGACCTCTTTATTTCATTCATTTATTTATACGTGGCGCTGGGAATTGAACCCAGTGCCTCACACATGCTAGGCAAGCACTCTACCACTGAGCCCCAACCCCAGCCCAACAATTGATCATTTTCTACTTCAAGAATTGAATGCTTTGATCAAACAGTGCCATCATAAGTTCGAAATGGTTGGGCAGAGTGTGTGTGTGTGTGTGTGTGTGTGTGTATGAGTGTGTGTGTGTGTGCGCGCGCGTGCGTGCATGTTTCTTTGATCAGTTCCTGGTCAGCAGCAGCCTTCACATTTTGGAGGCTGAGCTCCCAGGCAGGCTGTACTTTGTCTGGTGTGTGTTCCCATCAGTGCCTTGAATTCTCCATGTGGTGTAGTGAATGTAAGGAGGATGGGTAACTAGTCTATGGGAATCTGGTAAGAAATGTTGGAGGCTGGTCAACAGGAGTATGGGTGCCTCCATGTTAATTTTACAACATAGATAACTGACAGCTCCAACTGTGCAGATGAAGACTGAGGCCCACTTTGTAGAAATGGTAGTGTTTTCCTCTCTTTCCTTTTTATGGGCTATAGGTGAAGAATTAGCAAAGTCAAAGCGATTAAAAGTTATTTACAGAGCTGGGGGCAGTGGTGCATGTCTGTAATCCCAGTGACTCTGGAAGCTGAGGCAGGAGGGTTGCAAGTTTGAGAACAGCTTCAGTTAGCGATTTAGCAAGACCTTGTCTCAAAATAAAAAATAAAAAAGGGTCTGGGGGCTGGGCGTGGTTGCACACACTTGTAATCCCAGCAGCTCGGGAGGCTGAGACAGGAGGATCTTGAGTTCAAAGCCAGCCTCAGCAATTTAGCAAGGTGATAAGCAACTCAACAAGACCCTATCTCTAAATAAAATACTAAACAGGGCTGAGGATATGGCTCAGTGGTCAAAACTGGTGTAATGGGGATGTGGCTCACTGGTTAAGCATCCCTAGGTTCAATCCTCAGTACAAAAAAAAAAAAAAAAATTACAGAATGCCTGGAGCCTGGCAATCTTTCCTTGTGCATAATGCTCAAGCACTGCTGACTAGAGGCCCTAAGCTTTGGAGAGAAACTACACAGAGAAACTGAGAAAAGTAACAGGAACAATTGTAGGTGTATTAAGTATAATTTCTTAGCATCATCCATAGCTGGAACATGGGAAAATTCAACTGAGGTTCCAATCTAAAGTACATTTGTGTAAGGACAGATGGAATTTAGAAGTATTTCAAAAGTATTTTAAGTATCCCCAAGCATAATTTGCAATGGGTTGTGCTTCAGATACCACGGGGCTGTCCCAAGGACTATATATTATCAAATATTTGTGATGAACCTTTCTCTCTAGGCAGTTAGCTCAATTCAGTCTGTTAACCTGAGGGCACAAATAGCAGATCCTGAGGAGGGTTGAGATTTTGATACAGATGCTCTTCAGGTATGAATTACTAGCCACTTGGACTGAGCAATGTGTGTAACCTACACAGTCCTGGGCATCCACACGGTTTTAATGTCCTTGCTTATCAGTGACTACAGAGCCATATTTCCTTTGTTTCTGCAGAACAGGTGCTTAATCATTCACAGTGTTGAATGTCATTAAATCAGGTCTTTCTAAGTTCCAGTTTCCAGGGCTTACATAGACCAATATGGAGAACACACATCTCACTATCCTTTCATGAATACAGTCATCTCTGCATCCACAGGAATTGGCTCCAGGACCCCTGCAGTTGCTAACTCTGCAGATGCTTCAGTCCCTTTCATAAAAACAGCATAGCATTTGCATTCCATCTGTGCACACCTTTCCATAGGCTTTAAATCATCTCTAAATGACTTGGCATACATAATACAATGTAAAAGCCATGTAAAACATCTCTAAATGACTTGCCATACATAATACAAGGTAAAAGCCATGTAATGATTGTTATACTCTATTGTTTAGGGAATAATGAAAGGAAAAAGGTCTACGTATTTAGGTCAGATGCAAATTTTTTCCCCCAAATATTTTTGATCCACTTTTGGTAGAACCCATGGATACATAATGCGTAGATTCGGAGGGCCAGCTGTAACTCTGAGAGTGACAGGGAAGCCGGCTCAATCATGAAAACAATATTCACTACTGATCGTTGAGAGTTGCAGTGATCTGACATGGTCACATGTAATCAGAACCTCCACCACCCAGGAATGAGCTGGTTTATTTTGTAGCTGACCCACTCTGGGACAGCCCAGGGACATACTGGGAGCACACGCCAAACTTCAAGTTCCCACTGAGCTGATGAAAGGATCTGGGAAGGGTGGTTCCTGCATTGTTCTGGGGACACCCTGGGTTGGGCAATAGTGACTCTGAAAGGTAGATATTTACTCTCAGCCCAAAGGAGAAAGCTATAGCTTTTTAGCACAGAAACAAAAGAAACCTCAAAACTCACTCAATGTTATAGAAACTCAGATTGTATCCTAAAGAAAGCTGTGAGGAGAGCTGCTGACCGGGGACTGGACACACAGCCCTGAGGCAGTGAATTTCTCACCTTAGGAGGTGGTAGTTAAAGGGTTATGGAAAATAATATTCCTACAAGACAGCCCCCACCCCCTAGGGAAAATGGAGGGACAGTGTAGCTTGGCAGGAGGGAGAGGAAATTAGCCAAACATTAAACCTCTCCCAGTACATCCTTTCCCAGTAACAATGGGCCTGAGGGAGAAAGCCAACTTTCACCCCTTCCCGGGTTCAGCCCCAGCACCTCCACCAAAAGCAAACATTCACCCCTTCCCAACCACAATGGGTCCTAAAGGGAGTGGGTGAATACTGAAACACTGGGCCCTGGACTTTCGCCCTCTCCCATTGCAGATGAGTCCTGGAAGGAGAAAAGCAAATAGTGAAGCTTTAGGTACCAGTGGGTCCAGAGGAAGACAATAAACAGTGAACACCGAGTCGTGAGTCCTTCCCAGGGACAAGGAGTTTCAAACTTTTTACAACTGCCTTCCTGAGTTAAAATTTTAACCTGAACAACTAGGTCCCTGACTGTCCAAATGGCACATCCGCAATCTCCAAGGATTAATTCAAGACCTTATTGTAAACTATAAAACCCAGACTCCTTCTGTAACCCGGGGACCATTTCCACACTTAGAAAGTCAGCCTTCCTGTGCCTGATGGGTAGACTTCACTGCAGAATAAAAGAAAGCTTGCTGTTCTGGAGGTGTGCTTCCCATCTCCTTCCCTCCTTCTGCCATGTGCTTCCGCAGTAGCTGTCAATCCCTTTCGGGCTGCGTTGCGGTGTGGGTCTGAGCGGGTTTAGAAGAACCACAGGGCCTAGTGTCTGACCACCTGTAGGTGGTGATAGATGTGGTCACAAAGGAGACAATTGGAAAGCCTAGCAATCACTCATCACCTAATACTGTAATTCCTAACACACTGCTAGTACCTGTCACCTTGGAAACAGCTCCTGCCTGCTTTGCTGGGTAACAGTGCTGCCGAGAGTGAGAACCAGGCTGCTGTCAGTCATTCCACTGAGCTTCCTCACTTCCTTGGGAGAGTGGGCTGGGCTTGGAGCCTGTTTTGCACGGCTGCCCTCAACAGTGCTTGCAGGAAGGCTGGAATAAATGGGCTAATTATTTGGAATAAATGACTTGTTCTTTCAATGAAACAGCTAGTCAATACCATCAGGCAACTGGCCAATTGGGTTTGATGGATTTTTAACTGTAATCCTTATTTATAAAATAAAGGGATTGGACTAGCTGGCCTCACAGGTCCCTTTTAGTTTGAGTTTATGAGATTCTAATTGCTCAGCCTAATTGACCCTTTGGATTAGCATCATGTAAACACCATCTCTTAGCATTAAATCGCTAATTCGAAGATCAAAGCCTCTGCAAGGCCATGGTGCCTAATTCCACCCATCTCTTGGTAGATTCATGTGCACTTCAGATGGAAATGGTTCTAAGAGTTCAAAACCACCTGGGATCATTTGAGGATTATTTGATTTTTATTAAAATAAATTTAGAGAAGTGTAAAAGAGAAGAATGACAACTGCGTCTGGGCTGAGGTACCTTAGGCTGAAGTCATTCATCCTCCATGCTCAGGTGGAGAAGAGGAGGGTCAAGTTGGCCGCTGACATTTGTCTGCTACAGGTATTAAGGTTGGTGATCAAGAATCAAAGTTGAGACCCAAGTCAGGCTGTCCTGGGGAAGGGACCCACAGCTGTCCTTCGGTTATACAGCAAGCTCAACTGCTGAGTGTCATATGATGGTGTCAGAGCATCTCTGCCGCATGGGCTGGATACGTTTGTTCTGCAAAGACCAAATGCTAGATGATGGCTAAAGTAACGCTTGATTGTTTTCAGGGGGAAACGCTGGCATCAATTACCGGGAGTGGTATAAGCCCCTAGTGTGGTTTTGGATCCTGGTCGGCCTTGCCTACTTTGCAGCTGTCCTCAGTATGATCGGAGACTGGCTGCGGGTTCTATCCAAAAAGACAAAAGAAGAGGTAGGCCCCCCTTTCCAAACTACAAGTATTCTTGACATCAGATTAGCTGCCATCAGGAACTGCCTCCTCTCTGTGGGTTAGAGGGTCCTTGGCTCCAGGCAGGTCTCATAAGGCTTTCCAGTTTTGAATCTTTACCTCAAATTGACTAGAAGAGCCATTATTTCAAGAACCTTCTTTTGGCAACTGAGAAAATATGGTGATTCCTTACCAGTCCATGAACCCTAGGGATTCTTGTAAACAACAACTGATTTTTTAAAAAAAGGTAAATGAAAAGGGGGGAAAAAAGTAAATTAAAGCAGACTCAGGCAGAGGGAGATGTGCAGTTGTCCCTTTTCAGCAAATCAGACTCATAAGGAGCCTAGGAGAGCTGGCCTGTCCTTCAGGGCTCAGGTCGGTGTGGGAGTGCAGCCCAGGTGTCTCTGGGTCCATTTTCTATGAGACCAAAGTTGTCCAACAGTGGCCTGCCATGGGGAAGTGGAACCAGCTGTCCCCTTTCATTTGTCTTTTGTGTCTGCCCCAGTTGTTGGACCCACAGAGACAGATTTATCCCTATGGCCACAGGCACAGTCTTTACTCCTGTAAATTTATGTGAGAACCCACACATAAGTGAGAAAAGGAAAGATGAATTTTGTGGCTTTAAAAAAATCATGTAGTTCTCTAGGAACAGAGGAAAAGAAATAAGAAAGCAGGACAAATGGAGGAGAAAGAAAGAGCTAAATGAAAGAAGGGAGAGAGAAAAAAAGACAGAGCAAGAGAGGGATGGTGCCTTTAAGGGGAACTGTTGTCCTCCTTCTACATAAAGGGCCCCAGGAGAAAGTTGCTGAAGGAGAAAGTTCCCCTCTCCTTCCTGGGCCCACATGTTCCTTTTCCTGGCTGCATAAACACTGTCAATGCAGTCTGATTCCCCAGATGGCTAACTGATCAGCTAACCAAAGAGGAGGGAATGACATAAATATTGACTTTCCTAAATGCAAAAATTTGAGTCACTTATCTCTATAGGGAAGGACGGGACAAGTACCGTCTGCCCTGTTGATGAAAGGCCAAGAAATTTGGGTGCTGATCCTCTGGCAAAACTTCACTTTCTAAGAATATAGGTTCTGTGGACGTTGGCAAAACAGGTCCCCTTTCCTGCACCCTGAACAGGGAAATTTGGTCACCATTTGCCCAGGAGGGTCTTCTTCAGCCAGGGCAAGCCCGGAAGCCTATGCATTGACCAAATATAGGGTCAGAACCAACTATCACATTTTCCCCAGGACCTTGGAGGTTCCTAGGACATAGGAACTTTCTGTTTTAAAACCAGGACACTCCCAGGCAAACTGGGATGAGTTTTTCATCTTACCCAGATATAGATATTGGAAGGACAGGGAAGGATAAAGTTCTTGCTCAGCACCTTTTTTTGGGTCCAGGACTGAGTTAGGCACATTTCCTTATTTTGGGTAAAGAGAGTTAGATTTGATCACCTTTGCTTATGTGCGAGGAAGGAGGCCATATAATGTTTTAAAAGTTGGGAGACATGACTAGAACCCCATATATCAGCCTCTCCTCCAAAATGCTGTCACCTCTTACTCAGCCACCATCTCCCAGTCTCAGGCGTCCTTTGGATTCTCCCCATGTGCCTCCTAGAGCCACTTTAGTCTCTAGCCAATTTGTGGTGGGCATTTGGGTGGCAAAAAGGACTATGGCAGAAGTTGCATTTGTCCCTTTCCCTGGGCATATGCTCTACCCCCTTCTGGGCTCCCCAGAGACCACCTCCCCCTGGGGACACCCGAGGGCTGTGGGTGCTGGGGGTCCCCCCCCCGGAGGAGAGGAATTTCTCAGCGTGTTGATGCTCTTCCGTCTCTTGGCCAGGTCGGTGAGATCAAGGCCCACGCAGCCGAGTGGAAGGCCAATGTGACGGCCGAGTTCCGGGAGACCAGGCGGCGCCTCAGCGTGGAGATCCACGACAAGCTGCAGCGGGCAGCCACCATCCGCAGCATGGAGCGCCGGCGCCTGGGCCTGGACCAGCGGGCCCACTCGCTGGACATGCTGTCTCCAGAAAAACGCTCCGTCTTCGCCGCCCTGGACAGCGGCCGCTTCAAGGCCTCGTCCCAGGAGAGCATCAACAACCGGCCCAACAACCTGCGCCTTAAGGGGTCGGAGCAGCTCAATAAGCACGGACAAGGGGCCTCTGAGGACAACATCATCAACAAGTTCGGGTCCACGTCCAAACTCACCAAGAGGAAAAACAAAGACCTCAAAAAGACCTTGCCTGAGGATGTTCAGAAAATCTACAAGACCTTCCGGAATTACTCTCTGGATGAAGAGAAGAAGGAGGAGGAGACAGAAAAGATGTGTAACTCAGACAACTCCAGCACAGCCATGCTGACCGAGTGCATCCAGCCTCAGGCTGAGCTGGAGAACGGAATGGTACCCACAGACACCAAAGACAGGGAGCTTGAGAACAACTCGCTACTTGAAGACAGAAACTAAACGTCAAAGATGTTGGACTTGGACTAAGCATTGTGTGGTCTTTTCTTTTTTTTAAATATATATATATATATATATTCACACTGAGACACGTGCCTTAAACAGACTTCTTGTTAGTCCAAAATTACATAGCATTGAAGAATATATTTCACTGTGCCATAAACGACTGAAAGCTTGCTCTGCCAAAATGAGTCAAAGAACAAGAGGTTCATTTCAGATAGCAGCCGCAGGACACACCGGGGGCGTGCGCTCCTGCACACAGCAAGCAGGTGCACGTGGCAGGTTCCACCATAGGTGGGAAGGTGGATGCAGTACCACCGTGCAGCGCTGCCCTGGCACAACACTAGACAAGGGCAGCTGTTCCTTAGGCCAGCCTCCGACAGGAGCAGTTGTGTCTTTTAGGTTTCCTCAACTTACCATCCGTGATATGTCACACGGTGGTGGGGGGCGCTGTTCGCTGGTGAGCTGGGAACTAACTGCAACTAGGTTTAGAGTTGACGTTTTGGCATGTGCTCTGAGCTTGAATTTTGATACAAACCATTCCGTGCGTAATACCTACTCTTTCTGAGCTCCAAATGAATGTCCGTGGGACCCGAGAGCACCTGGAATTTGTTGGAAGTGGATCAGAGCACACGTATTAAAAGGTGCAATTGCTTTTTCTCATTACAAAAGAAAAAAAAAAAAAAACAACCACAAACCCATCACACTGTGGAGATCACCTTATCCGCTGACAGAAGCCCACTGAGTAGTGTCCTTCTCACAGGGGCGGGTCGCCCGAGTGCACCTGGCTGCATTGGTGGAGACTCAGTCTCAACCACTGCATGGTTTACCAGCGAATCGTGCGCTTTCCTCGGTGGGTGTGATGGTGAAAATGAACTGATTTTGAGACGTCGACGTTCACTTTTCTATGGGGACTTCAGTGATAACTCGTTTTGATAAGAGGGGGGAAAATACCAAAACTATTGCCTTGCATGATGCCAGTGGCTTGCTGTTCTGTCTAGCTGATTCTCAATTTTTATAAAAATAGACATCCTGCATTTCTGAGACGTACCGAAGAGGACCATGGCATCTTTCCATCTCAGGGCTTCTTGTCCCTTTGGGTGTCTTAGGGTAGACATAGTCTTGAGACCCAATCTTGCTACTTCCAAACACAAGGAAAAATGATCCCTCAACCACCCCCTGCATAGTAAGATTGAAATGTTTTAATTGCTTGCAGTTAAGTGCCATTAATGTCATTTAAAAAGTAATACTTAAAGGAAACATTTAAAGTATTTTGTTCATTTTTATGTTTGGCTGTTCCTTTGTTCTGGAAGCCTGGCTTCTTTTCTCTTTGCTTGTTTCTTTATCTCATGTCTGTTTTTTTCACTAAAATGGCAACGCTCTACTGATCGTTTCAAGGCAAACTATGACCAACGTGTGAAAAGTAACGATTGTTCCCCAGGCTAGAACTTTCAGCCAAGCAAAGTGGAGAAATGGCTAGTCACAGGTTTTGAGAGGATGATCTTAAATAGATTTTTTTTTTAATCAGAAAGGGAAAAATATACATGAGGTCATTATTCTGCGTGTGCCTCAGTCTGTGTCGTAATTGGCTGGCTGTCCTACTGGTTCAAGTTAGTCGTTTGGGCCACACGTGGGCCTGGAAAACTTCAGGAAGTTGCTGGTCGTGAGCCTTCCAGGCACAGTGACACCCTTGGGGGTTTTTTAATGGGATTTTATATAACTACTCCACAAAGTGGACTTTCCAAATGATCACTCGACACAAATGGAGACGTACAGAAACCGTCTAGCACTTCCGACTTTCAGGGGAAAATCATGCCCAGGGCAGTCTTGACTGTCGGTACCACTGAAGATCCATCCCTGCCTCTTTCCCACACGTGCACGGCTCTCCCTGCCTGCAGCACACACAGTCCCCCTGGCCCAGCCCCAAACCTTTAGGCTCTAGTTAAAGTTCTGGCATTGCTTTTGAGAAAGAGCCAAATAAGGATCATCGATGGGGAGACCTTTACTGTTCTCATGGTACTGAGCAGATGCTCAGGGATCCGTGTGTGTGCAGGTGTGGATGTGGTTTTTACCATGGGACTCAGTCCAGCCAGGCCCAGTGTGCTATAAGGAGTTGGCAGATAACTGGAACTTCCTTATTCTGACAAGTTTATGTTTCCCAATCAACCTACCCATGGATCTCATTTATTTGGGTTTCTACCCCATAGTACCTCGGTACCTCTTTGTGTGTTAAAATTTCAGGCCCTACAGCCAGATCTGGCAAAGAGGCTCCCCCCTGTCATTTATCCCGTGTCTTCTGTGGGCCAGATACTGAATCAGGCACTTTATGGATGTTAGCTTACTGAAACTTCACTACACCACACATGAAGTATTTGCAAACCATTATACATGAGGACATGGAGGCTCAGGAAAGCTAAGTAACTTACCCAAGGGCACACAGCAAGAAGGCAGTAGAGCTGGTATTCAAAAGTATGACCAAAGTCTGCTTTCAACTTTGCTACAATGTCTTTTGTGCACTCTTGTGAGTATGTGTGTGTGTTGTGTGTGTGTGTTTGTGTATACATGTATTCTTCAAGTCTCATGAACACAGTTTACAGAGATGAGGGGAAGAGGTGGAATAATCTTTACCCCTGAGAGGGCATGAGGTCTTTGTGTTTTACACAAAAGGCCTAAAGGGTTGCCCTTGAAGACACCTACTGTGCGCTGTTATGGTTTGGTTTTGAAAATACTGTATATGGCACTTTTTCTGTACTGTCACAGATGCCCTTTGAAGGTACTCTTTGCACTTTATTTGCCTACTTTGCAGGAACCCCGCATACAGCAGGAATAAAACAGTTCAAAGCACCAAGCTGCATGCTCTACCAAATGGAACAGGTGCGTGTGTTGGCATGTGCATAGATGCTTCCCCAAAGAGTCCAATCTCAGCAACACAGAAAATCAAAAATTGCCTTGAGTTGGGAGCCTGGGAACCTTTGATAGAACCCCTTCCCTGTGTACGATGGGTACCAGGCCCTGCCAAATCACCCCAGAGACCACCTCTGTGGAGATTGATCCATTAACTTCCCATGGGCATGTTTGGAAAACTCTGTTCTCAAAGGAGCAGGTCAGAGGGAATAAGAGGTTGGATTCCTCCCATTAAGATTTGAGGAGTCAGTGATCTAGAAGTTACTTGAATGTTACCTTTCTTGAGATGGGGCTGGATAGCCCACGGAGCACACGCCATAGTGCAAACCTGCCACATGTTCTGTACGGTGCATTGGCACCATGGGCCCTTCAGTCTGCACCCCTGCCCCACCACAAACCCCTAATCAACACCTTCACCTTGTACAAGGGAAGAGCATGTTTGGCATCTTCAGTGGGTGGCCGTGTTTCTCAGCTGACATGGCACTTGGGTACTCAGTGTTTCCTTCAAAACTTATGTGGCGGTTTACTGCTGAGAGCCAAGGGACAGTTTGGGGAGACCAATGCAACTTGATATTTGGTCCTAGCCCAGTAGTGATTTCAGAAAGGTGCCATTTTGGGGTAGGGTTGTATAGTGTATGGGGTGCCTGGGACTACTGTGCTCCACAAGTCACAGCCTGTCACTGTGGGCACATCAGTTCCTGTACCACATCGGCACCTCAGGGGAGTGGGGCGCAGACAGTCATCAAGGGCCCTTTTTGTTCTGCAGTTCTCTCACAAAACATTCCCCCTCCACACCCTGTCTGTGAGCCAATTAAGAAAGTTTCGAGTTGGATTTATGAATACTGACTAATGGTCTCATCCATTCTAAGGGAAGGTGAGAACTTAGTCTCCTGCCCTTTTGGATTGTGTTTTCTGGGTGATAGATGGAGACCAGATGTATTTCAGAGACTGGTGTCCAAATTTAGATTATGCCCTGTGTAGTATCTCTCTACCTTCCCCTATAGCTCAGTGGCACACTGTCACCCGGGGGCGGCGGGGGTGGGGGTTATATGCTACACGGGCATTTTTTGCATGGTGTTAAGACTAGTTAAAGAATTTTAAGCCTTGCTATTTGCAGACAGTTGTACTAAAATTATCCCTTTGATTACTTCATGAATTCATGTACTTTCATGTCTCTCTCTCTCTCTCTTATACACACACACACACACACACACAGGAAATGGCTATTTTGAGTTCTGTGGGGACTATTCCATGTTGAAAGTCTTCGTTGTGCTAAACATTATCTACCTGCCCCCTGGTCTCCCTCTGAGATGATGTCATTTCCTGGCTAAGTGAAGGCCACATGTCTGCCTGCTTGTTTAGGGAATCAGTGACCATGTGGAGGGCCAGGGTGTGGGTGGGGCAGGTTTGGACTTGCTGGATCAGGTAAGAATGTGAAGCACCCCATGCGTATCACAGTTCAGGGACCACAGGGAGGGTACAGGACGACAAACACGCAGAGCCCTCTAAGAGAAGAAAGGCAGAATGTCTACATTGCACCCCACATCCCTGCTTCTTGTGTTCTGCCAAGATTTTTAGTGGGGGTTTTCTTCCTCACTGTTATGATGCTGTGGGGTGCAAAGCCAGTGGCTGAATGAGCAGAGGAAGCTTAAGGGCTAGTTAGTAACGGCCTTTAAAAGAAAAATGCAATTCTCTGAAGCAAAGGTCACCCTAATTTGGCATGTTAATTCTGCAATATGGAAACTTTGAAATAGCATGCTGGTTATATGGCTCCTGTGCACCCTGCCCTGTGTGATAGCTGGCATTCTTGGCAGACCTGACCATGCTCCATGTAAACCTGGGCCCTTCCAAGACAGTCTGTGGTCACAGACATCAATGCAGGGGCATGCAGAAGAAATGAGAGACGTGTCTGGTTTTAGTGAGAATGATTTCATTTTCACAGGTGCCAGAGATTTAGAATCTCCTTTGGGTTCTTGGTTCTTAAGTAAAAAATCTCAAATAGTTCCCCATGCATTGGAAAACAACAACAAAAATTCCTTCACAGGACTCCTGCCCCCAGGAGCCAGTGGGCCTGTGCTGCAGAGGATAACTTCAAAACCTCTCCTTCTCCACCAGGGTTCTGAGCTCCAAGGGAGGAGGTGCAGCGGTGGTGCCTAGAAGTGATATGCAAACTACCCAGTGTGCCAGCCCCTTTCCCACCCCAGTCGCGAGTCGCAGGCAGGGGACCCAGTGATGAATGATGATAAACCTATGTGTGGAGTTTTACCCGTTTTCTCTTTGTAGGATTTCATGGTGCTTAAAAAAAAAAAGAGGCATTTTACAGATAATGTGTGTTGGAGGGATTTCATAATGTTCTTAGGAAAAGTACAAAAGCAAATTGGCTTGTGTCATTTCAATAAGCTGTGCTGCTATTGTCTTTATTTGATGATGTATTTTTTTTTTAATGATGGAGAAAATTGCAACAAAGACCTTCTGGAAGATCCAATCTAATGCTTCTCCTGTGTTCCTTTCTCTCATTGGTGCTGTGCGTGGTTCACAATAGCTGGGCGGGGAGCTCTGCTCAGGACAGGTGTGCTGGCCAGACAACACAGGTGAGGCCCCGGTCCTAGCTTGAACTCACTCCTTACATGCAGTTATCAGCAGAGACTCACTGGGAGGAGGAGGAGCCCCAACTCCCCTAGAAGAGACATCTTCAATAACCCAGTATCGTCGCTGCACATTTACTTTAATATCCTTATTTGTCCTTGAACTGGATTGCATGTTGCTGGGGGTGTACCATCATGATAAATCACATGTTCTAGGTGAAAAACTGGACATTGTGACAGGAACAGCTGCTTGTGTGCTGAACTTTCTTTCTAGTTGTGTTGGATTTTGCTATTGCTATGTCTGTTCGTCAGCCACAAGCTTATTAATAATGAGCAGAGATAAAACAGCTACCACTTTTGAGCACCTGTTGTGTATGAGGTACTCCGCTAGGCAGGTCACAAACATCTCATTTAGCCTTCCCAATGAAAGAACACATGGAGTACCTTCGTCGTGTAGGTAAAGACTTTGAGACTCAGAGAATGAGAAACCTCTATCCAACTCAAGTTTCAAATCCGAGTCTCACTAGGTCGTGGAGTTCATGAGACATTTGCTTTGATCACTTCTCCAGCAAAGGTGATGGGGTTCTTTCAGACCTGTCCTCATCGTCTCTCCCCTCCAATTTGTGCCATGATGTCAAAGGTACCTTCTTGGCTGTGAGTTAGAGCAAGGTCAAATGCCTTGACTAATACAATCAGACTGCTGGTCATGAGCTGATCAGGGACAGATTTGGCTCATATTTTTATTGTTTTCCTGGTCTTGGCACAATGGAGAGCACATGTTAGGAGCTCAAAGTGATCTTTACAAATTGCCAATAGGTCAGTGCATCTCTTTGGCCTTTAGGGTAAAAGCCAAGAGTACTGACCTCTCAGGCGCTGCATGAATTTCTGTTTCATTATGCACCCGTCTCTGATACCACCATTCGGAATGACTTGCAAACTCCTCAATTGGTCCATTATTTCTTCTATCTCCAGGTCTTTGCCCCCCACTGTCACTTTTGGAAGTCCTGACCACTTCTGTGGCCCCTTTCCTATTCTACCACCCAGCTCATTCAAGTGCTTTGGGACACAGTAGAAGCTGCTTCTTGCTCTTCCCATTTCTTCAGAGTGAGTCAGTTGCCTTCAACACAGCCCCAGCGCCCCTTGACTGGAGTGCGAATTAGGTGGGATTTAAACTGGTATTTTTCTTTCTGCTATGAAGATTATAAATTCCTCAGGTCAGGGAATGTGACTTTCATTTCCATCCTCAGCACTGAACAGGTCCTGACACTATACAGACCATTGATTTATTGGTGAATAATTTTAATGCCCTCGTTGATAATATATTTGCATCTTTCAATGCAGATTTAATTTTTTTTTTTTTACGACTTGGAAATCATCTGGAGCCAAGGCTGATGGCATAAGTAACTTATCCAACATCTAAGTATTATTTTAATAAAGCCAAGTGTGCCTGCAACATAATGAGTTTAATTTGTGTTTACAAAGAACTCTAAAATTTTCATTATTGATAGTTGTTGAAACAACTAGACCGTGGAAAGATGCCTGCTTTGAAGAACAGCTCTCATCTATATATAGCTAATAGAATGTTTATTTACAAGCCAATCTTATTATGACAGAGTGAGTTGGAATGTTGATGCGCTGCATATGAAATTATGCTTCGTGGGGACGTCAAATACATGGCAAGTGTGCCACCATTTCTTACTTCTATGCCCAAGGTAGACATCAATCATCAATCACAGAATTCCTTCCCCCGTTAATCCAGGTGCATTCTTAGAATACCTTTTAAGATCATACTCCCAGTTAGAAGTTCTCAAAACATGGTCTGAAAGCCCTTATACATCCTTGAGATTCTTTCAAGGGTCCATGAGGTCAGAGTTATTTTCAAAATAGTATCAAGATACCACTTGCCTTTCTGATCTCAGTCTCTCCTAAGAATACAGTATTTAGACTCAAATAACATTAGTCACTTAGAGGACACAGGCAAGGTGATCTGATACCTTTTGTTGAATATGAAAAGAATTTTCCAAAATGATAGTAAATATGCATTTCTTGGAGAATTCAGAAGTACCTAAATATTACAATTTTATTAGAAAGCACTTTCTGCTTAACCCCACAGGAATGTGGTCATGAACAGTGTCTCTCTGGGCCCTGTCCTAGGTACTCCATGGGCCATGTGGCCCTTCAGTTCCTTTCTAATAGTTCCAAGAGTCCCTGAAGGGGACGCACATGTGCTCCTTTTCTTGACCACTGTGCCATGAGGGTAAACTTTCTAGAAGCCTCTCTGGTGCTCCAGGACTAGAGCAGATGGCTTTTCAATGATCTGCTGGCAACAACAGTCACTCTGCTTTTCTCATTGCCCATCTTTCCCATATTGGGAACTTCTAGAGGGAGATAGCACTGCCCTGCCCCGCCCCCCCGCGCCCCCCCATCGTTTTCATTGGCCTAGCACAGAGCACAGCACATGATAGGAGCTCAAAAGATATTCGCTGAATAAACAGCAGATCCAAACCTTTGGTCTTCAGCAAAGGGGCTCTGCAGAGAGAGAAAAAGAAGAGAGCTCAAATCTGGGGTGGGTGAGCTGGAGGGAAGGTGAGAAAGATGCAGCATGTGAGGGGAGTCTCAGACAAGGGGTGCTGTCCAGCAAACAGCACCTCGGATCATTTCTGCAGTCAGAACACTGACCACAATGGCCACTTTTACCAGGCTACTTCCATGAACTTGCCTCCACCTTGGAGCCAGAATGATGTAAACACTCTTGGAACAAAACAATTCCAACTTCGAGATGACCGTATGAATTTGAGATGGCACACAGGTCAGCATCCAGCCACTGTCTTTCTGTGAAATATTTCAAATTCAAAATCAATTTATTTTAGTTATACATATCTTTATTTTGTTTATTTATTTTTTTATGGCACTGAGGATTGAACCCAGTGCCTCACGTGTGCGAGGCAAGCGCTCTGCCGCTGAGCCACAACCTCAGCCCCTATTTCTAGGTTTTGATGAGCTGGCTGTTCTTGTAAAGAAAATGTCATTAGAGGAGTTCAAAAGCAAAACAAGAAATTTTCTCACACAACCTACATGGAAGAATCCTGTTTATTATAATGAATTTTAAAGATCGTTACACTCTTCATTTTTGTATTATTTGTTATTTGAAATCATTCTGGATACATAAGGATTTTCCTTCACTCATAATGTGATAACATTTTAAGTATTTCCCAACACAATAATCTATGTTCTTATCTGTAACCTGCTCACATCAATGGCCCTTTTGAATTATTTGCAAATGCCTGAGGCAAAGAACAACTACAGGACCTCTCAGTAAGTATGAATTTATTTTCTAATGAAGAACCTTGGAGAATCCTTTTC